TCCTGTCGCCCAACCGACCGACACCCCCCACTTCTTCTAACGCCACTTCTTCAAAATAGACTCGCCCAGGCTGAAAACCGACTTCTGCTCATGGGTCACGAAGTTTCAATCGCACTGTACGTGCGCGCCCGCACATGGTATTTTGTGGAAGAGCCACACTCAAGGGGCCAAAGAGCCACATGTGGCTCGCGAGCCACAGTTTGCTGACCACTGGTATATACAAGCAATGGAATATTAAAAAGGAAAGAAATTCTGACACATGCTACAACATGGATAAACCTTGAGGACATTATGCTTAGTGAAGCCAATTACTAAAGGACAAATACTATATGATTCCACTTATAAGAGGTATCTAGAGTAGTCAAATCCATAGAAACAGACAGTAGAATGGGGCTGGGGAAAGGGGAAGTAGGGAGTTGGTTAATAAGTATGGCATTTCAGTTTTGCAAGATGAAATTCTGGAGACTGGTTGCACAACAATGTGAATATACTTGATGCTACTGAACTGTACAATTAAAAATGAAAGATGGTAATAAATGCATATATATTTTTTTCAGCCCCTTCTATGCCAGGTGTTAGTGTAGACAGTAGGGACACATTAATTTGAGAGAATCCCTTTTCTCATGAAGCTTCCATTCTAGTGAGGGTAAATATATAATTTTTAATAACAATTTTAAATAAAGAAAACATCTGAGATATGGCAGGCACCATATGTGCTATGAAGAAGATAATAAGCCCAGCTGGGTATGGTTCAGTGGTTGAGTATTGACCCAAGACATCACCTGTTTGATTTCTGGTTAGGGCACATGTCCAGGTTGTGGGCCCGATCTCCAGTGTGGGGTGTGTAGGAGGCAGCCGATCAATGATTCTCTTCATTTCTATCTCTTTCTCCCTCTCTCTTACTCTCTGAAATCAATAATATATATATTATTTTTTTAAGAAGATAGCGTAAGGTAATATGGTCGACAGTGACTAAAAAGCTGCCTTAGCTGAGCCATTGGGCCGAGGACTCTGAGGAGGTGACATAGGACTTCCAATGCCATTGATGAATTGGGCTCCCTGGACTTGGAGGGATAATGAGGAGTTTAGCTTTCATGCTAGTGAGGAGATTTCCCACGAGTGAGACATTCTGACAGGCACTTTCATAAGATCTCTCTGACCACTAGATGGAGAATGGGTCTAACATAGGAGAGGGCATGAGAACTATACAAATCAACTGAAGTCAAACAAAGTTAAGTCAGGGGCTTGCTACATGCTGCCTGACAGAACTCGGCTAGCCTCTGAGATGCAAGAAGGCCACGAAGAGCCTCCAGACAAAGAAAATTCCTGCAAAGATAAATTAATAGCTACTCACCCATACCTTATCTTTTACTCATACCATAAAGGAAAAACAGACCACAAAGTACACCTTGTAAAGGTTAAAGTTACTCCCAATGGTTTTTGTTTCCCCATCCTATTTTCCCATACCATCACTTTTCTATAGAAACTACAAACAGATATAAGCTCGACCTCTAGAGACAGCTGAGGTCTCTTCCTTCTCTGGTGAGGAGAGTCCACTACTCTGTCTATGGAGTGGCTTTTCCTGCTTGTCCTCTCTGCTTGATAAAACCTGCTTTCCACTTTAACCTTTTGTCTGGCTCCTGTCTTAAATTCTGTCCTGCATGAAGCCAAGAGCCCTAGGCTTGAATGAGTTTCCCTTAGGACTTGCCCCTGTGGCATCAGACCGAGGGATCATGGGAGAATGGCTGTTACAGTGTTGTAGGTGAGAGAGGAGGGGCACGTGGACAGTGGTTGTAGCAGTGGAAATTCTGAGACATGGCCAATTTCAGGATATAATATGAATCTTGAGCCAGCTAACCTATCAGTACAGGAGTGAGAGACAGAAAGGAACAAATGAAGCCTAGATTTTTGGCTAATCAATTGAACATCTGAAGGTACCATTTATTTAGATGTGAAGCTTGATAGAATGATTTTGGTGGTGGTGGTGGAGCTATGGATCAAGACTTCTGCTATGGCCATGCTGTTTCAAATGTCTACTTAGACACTGGGTAATTGGTTGGATAGAAGAACCTCTCTGATGACTGCTGTGTTGTTCCCTGGGACCCCCTGGGAGGGTTCAAGAAGGTGGGCGAGGGGGGTAACTGGGAGATTGAGGCAGTTTAGGTTTATAGAGCACTAAGGAAACGAATATCCCCATGACGATGGGAATTGCTGAGGATGTGTTGCAGACTAATTGCCTGGATATCCATGCCCAGCTGGGTTTTCCCCTTTTCAAAGGTAAGTTCTGTCCCTTCACCTGAACTCTGACCTACCACATTGCTTTTGCACTTCCTTGAAGGTGTAAAACCACTGGCATGCATTTCCTCACCCAAATTGCCTCCCACTATTCCCCTAATGAGTCTCTGTTTCTTATATTTCACTCTTCTTCCTCATTCATTTCTCTGCCCTACCCGGCCTCTTTATAGCCAATAAGTAACTGCTAAATCCTAATGTTCTTTTAAGGTCAAAACCACTGGCATGCATTTCCTCATCCAAATTGCCTCCCACTATTCCCCTAATGAGTCTTCTGTTTCTTATTTTTCACTCTTCTTCCTCGTTCATTTCTCTGCCCTACCCGGCCTCTCTATAGTCAATAAGTAACTGCTAAATCCTAATGTTCTTTTAAGGTTTGTGCCTTAAAGGGAATTCACCCTATAAGCAGTTTCACACCAGCTCAGTGCAAACCTGCTCTGATGCTCCCACCTCTTGCCCCCATTATCTTTATTTTTCCCCCATTGACTCTTCACTGACTCTTCACTTGTATTTTACTTCCCACACTTAACCATTAGAACCTTGTATTCTATATAAACATCTGTCTCCTATTCCAGGGTGTAAGGTATCCTTTACCACGCCTAGCCCAGCACAACACTCATAACACTAGATGCTTTACAAATCCTGCGCGTGAATTGAGTTCATGGATCAGTTTAATTGCATGTCTTCCAGAAAACTCAGTTCTAATACTAATAACCCACCACCGTGATCCTATTTTTGTATTCCCCTATTATTTCACGTCTGTATTAATCAATTATTTCTTAACCCAATTACGTACTCCTTCTATTATTACTCAACTGGTTCACATTATGCAAGTCTTTCCCTCCCAATTTTATTGTAGACTTAAATGGAGAGCTTGTAGAAAGCTTCTTCAGTGACTGAGGCAGTGTATTGCCCTAAATTGTTCCATAAGGTGTGTTAAATGGAATAATGAATTAGTGAATTAATGATTTAAAGAATGAATGAACAGTCATGGCCAGTATAGCTCAGTTAGTTGAGGGTCATCCCATGTACAGAGAGGTTGTGTGTGTGATTCCTGGTCAGGGAACATGCCCAGGTTTCAGCCTCGATCCTCAGTAGGGGGACTGCAGGAAGCAGCTGATGATGTTTCTCTATCTCTCTCTCTCTTCCTTCTTATCTCTCTAAAATCAATAAAAACTTTTTTTGAACACCTTCCTGTCTATCTACCAGCTCAGTTTCCTGGTCCTGTAGGCATGAATGCGTAGAGTCATGTTTAATTGTTTGTCCCCGTCCCCACCCTCCCCCCCACTTTTCAAATCCAACCAGAGACAAAATACTA